GGGTTGTTTTGTTTTGTTTCTTCTTTCTCGTGGTTCCTCCCATTGATTCTAATTCTTCTTTATAACATGACTAATGTGAATATATGTGAATATACATGTACAGCCTATATCAGATTGCATGCCATCTTGGGGAGAGGGAGAAAAATTAAAATTCAAAATCTTATGGAAGTGAATATTGAAAATGAAAAATAAATTAATTTTTTAAAAATTTTTTTAAAAAGAATTTTTCTTGGGTACTGGGGGAAATGGAAAAAAATGACCTTAAGATAACCATGACCAACTCTATGACCAACTCAGTAGGCTTTGGTAGTTATTCCATAGACCACAGAGGAGTCAATGTTCCCATGGGGACCCAAGAGATCATCAAATCCAATCCCTCAGTCTGATAAAACTGAGATCCAAATTAGTGACATGATTTGTCAAAAGCCATAATACTAATGAGTAGCAGTGCTGAGACTATAAGCCAGGCGTGACTCCTGATACCAGTGCTCCAACACAAAAGTGTCAAACTCAGACTTAGAAAACAACAAATTAATATTACTTATTTTGTTTGATGCTGTTCAGTCATTTTTCGGTTGTATCCAACTCTTCATGACCCCATTTGGAGTTTTCTTGGCAAAAAAGATACTGGAGTGGTTTGCCATTTCCTTCTCCAGCTCATTTGACAGGTGAGGAAACTGAGGCAAACAGGTTTCAGTGACCTGCCCAGGGTCACACAGCTAGTAAGTATCTGAGGCCAGATTTTAATTCAGGTCTTCCTGACTCCAGGCTGGGCATTCTCTCCCCTGTGCCATCTAGCTGCTCCCATTTATTTTGTTAAACATTTTCAAACTGTATTTTAATCTGATTCGGGTTGTGCCTTTAGGAACTCTGCCAGTACCTGGCTGGCTGCAAGTTTAACATCTCTGTTCTAATATACCATTTATTCATTTAAGTGCCTATGACATATAAGGCACTGTGCCTGGTGCTGGGGACATAAAGACAGTCTTCACGTTTAAGGAGTCTGCAGTCTACCAGGGGATTACATATATACACAGAAAAATATAAGACAAAGTAATTGAGGAAAGAGAGAATCAGGGGTATGCTAGTAAACATTTAACAACCAGCTCTCCAGGGGGAAAATTATGCGTTACACATTTTTAAGTTTAATCTCTATTATTAACATTTTCTCCATCACTTTCTTAAGTTTAGATAATCAACAAATCGAGCCCTGATTTGTAGCATATGCTAATTCCCAAAGTGTAAATGCTCACACTGAAAATTTAACAATCTGCTCTCGAGCTGGTTAAGCTGGCTCTAGCATATGTCTGGAGAGAACATTTAACAATTGTTGGGGAGGGAGGTCAAACAAGATTTTCTGGAAAAGAAAGGACCCAAACTACATCTTAGAGGAAGCTGAGGATCCTGGTAGACAGAGAGTACACATCCGAGGTACAGGAAACATCCTGCGGAAAGGTACGAAGGTCAAAGACAGACCCTTCTAGTCTGCCTAGAGAACAGGCTGCAATAAGGCTGGAGAAGTAGGCAAGAGTCAGATTACCAAGGGCCTGCAATGCTGGTCTGAGAAGTTTGTATTTTATCTTAGAGGGCCTCTGAACAAGTGCTCACTTGTGTTAGGGTGAGACCTGTGCCTCCCAAAGATGATTCTGGCAGATGAGTGGATGATCAATCAATCAATCAACAAATAGTTATTAAGTGCCTACTATGTTCTAGGCACTGTGCTAAGCACTAAGACACAAATAAAAAGAATGAAAACAATCCCTACTCTCAAGAAGACCGGAGAGAGAAAACCCTGAAAGCAGGAAAACCAATTTGAGGGCTATTAAAATCATTTAGACCAGAAGCCTCAACCACATGGCCTGTCCATTGTATCCCAAATGGGTATGATCCAGATTCGATTGTAATTGGCAAATATTTTATTTAGCAAAATAAAAATGGAATAAAACAAATAATATTAGATTTAAGTCAACATGCCACAGATGGAGATCCTTATGTATGGATTAGTGGCCTTATTTCTACTTGAGTTCAGCAGAGGACTGCTTTACTAGCCTTATAAATCTTTTGTTGCTGTTCAGTCATTTCAGTGGATCCGACTCTGTGACCCCATTTGGGGGTTTTCTTGGCAAAGATACTGGAATGGTTTGCCATTTCCTTCTCCAGATCTTTTTAAGATGAGGAACTGAGGCAAACAGGGTTAAGTGACCTGTCTAGGGTCCCACAGCTAATAAGTGTCTGAGGCCACACTTGAACTCAGGTCTTCCTGACTTTAGGCCCAGCACTCTATCAACCGAGCCACTGAGCTGCCCCTATAAATCCTCTAAAATCTGGGTATTACTGAAACCTATATCTCTCAGTCTATGGCTATGTAGTCATGAAACAGCCTAAGTGTCCTCCTCCTTCCCTCCCCTAAGTCTTAAACAATAATGCCAGAAAAATAGCTGACATCAATGTAGAGTTTCATAATTAGAAAATGCTTTACAGACACCTCTGTGAGGTAAGTAACACAAGTTACTTCTAGATGAAGAAATAGAGTTCAAATAACTTGTCTAAGCTTATATAGTATATAAAAGACAAAAACCAGGATTTGAGCTCAGGTGTGCTAATTTTTAAGTCTATTACTCTTTCTAATGTATAGCACATCCTCTCACAGACAGCTCACCCTCTTCAAGCTTCATACTTCCTTTCAAATGAACCAAATTAAGCCCACTTGCTTAAATGGGGCTCACAGTTTGGCAGGCTGGCTTTCCCTATGGGAAGGGCATGGGGTTCTTTCTCACTTGCACATATAGTCTACTGATGGAAACAGTGACCCAGCTGCCCGGAGACCCAGCAGGGATGCCTGGTGTTAATGACCTTGGCCAATCAGCTTCTTCCTCCTGGGCAGCCTCAGTTCCCTCTTGTAGAGAGCGGTACCCGAGCTAAGAAAGCAGCTTGGCTACAAAAGCTCTTTCCTCCCAAATGGCAGACAATGAGGCACTCAAGGCCTGTGGGAGGCACTATATAAAAAACTGGGTAGCATTAGGGCAATTGGCCGTTTTCTCCCTTTTGAATCAAAAGCCCTCTTGCTTACAACAGAGGATAAGGACTATTTTATCCCCACTACCTAGCACATAGTAGGCCTTATAAATGTTTTATGAAGGATCAATTTTAGATCTTGATCCATTTCATTCATTCCCAAGACTTGAAATATTGTGTGTAGTCTTAAGATGGTTCAAACATTTAGACAAATTCAGAGATGAGTGATCCCTAACAGGGAAAGTAAAGGAAGTCAGGTATAGTGAGTTATATAGCACAGCTGAAAGAATGCTAGATATGGAGTGAGAGGACCCAAGTTCAAGTTCTACCTCTGTGATTTCCTATCTATGTAACCACAGGCAACTCATTTAACTACTCTGAAACTCAGTGTCCTCATCTGTAAAGTGAGAAGATTGGACTTAATGACCTCTAAGATCTTTTCCAGCTCTAAATCAATGATTCCTACAATCTCTATGTTTCTGAAGGCCTTTTTTTTTTGTTTGTTTGTTTCTGAAGTCTTTGCCATGTAAAGTACCTCCTGTGTGCTTCCAGAGAAGGTCTCTGGGTGACCCTGTCAAAATATGAATGCTAGACTGGACAGAACATGGGGCCTGACCTGGCATGGTCATCAAAAAGGCAAGTCATAGATATTCCCAAGATGCCAATGAGTAGACTGAGGCAAAGTCAAGGTTGCAATTAGGGAATGACAAAAGACACTCATCCCCTTCTCTCTGAAGTCACACTTGTTCAACTGGATGCCCTCAAGATCAATCAGTCCCATCCATCCCTTTAGAAACACAGAGACATCACCTCACCTGTGTGTGTTTGTCTGTGTGTCTCCAGTGCATCCTCCTTAGAGAACTGGGCACCACACTGATCACAGACGAAGGCTTTGGCACCAGCTGCAAAGAAAAGGGAAGTGAATTACAGCAACAGCCACATACCATTGGGAACTCCAGTGCCCTGGGCTAGGGTCCAGAAGGAGGAGTATGGGAGAATGGAAAGGGATGTACTGACCACTTCTGCTCGAGCTACTGAAGGAAGGGTACCTAAATCCTGGAGGAACTAAGGAACCAATCTCTCCCTTAAATTCTCATGGTAACCCATTTTTAATTCTCATGTCTTTATCATAAAGAATCTCAGAATTGCAATTGTTTTGTTTTTATTTTTTGGTTTTTTTTTTAAATTACTGGTGCAATAGATAGAACCCTGCACCCGAAGTCAGAAAGTCCTGAACTCAAATTCCGTCTCAGACAAAACTCTAGCTGAGTGACCCTAGGTAAGTAATCTGGCCTATCTGCCTAAGTTTTCTCATCTGTAAAATGGGGATAAAAATAGCACCTGCCTCATAGGGCTGTTGTGAAGATAAAATGAGATAATATTTATAAAGTGTCTTGTAAACTTTAAAGCACTATATAAATGCTAATTATTATCATCATCATCACTATTATCTACACATTGAAGGTCAGAGCTAAAAAAAAAAACTTCAAGGATCATTTAGCCCAGCCCCTTCGTTTTGTAAATGAGGAAATGGAAGGGCCAGTGAAATTCAGTGACTTACTGAAAAAGCCACACAGTCTGGCAATGACAAAGTTGAGAAAAGAAGCCAGATTTTATAACTTAGTTCAGTGTAGTTACCATTACACCTTAATACCTGAGCGTGTTCTCATCTAGGCCTTACTAAAATTTTTCAGCAATCTTTCTAAAGATTACTAAAGATCTAAAATCATTCTAAATCTTTCAGTAGAGGAAACATAATATGTACTTAACAATTATTTATCAAATGAATGAGTGAGTGCATGAAGGTAGAACACAGGGACAAGCTGCCCACTGCCCCTAATGTTTTGAAAACCTTAATAAGAACTAGCTGGCCTCTTCTTTCTCTAGGAGAGATTCGGGGACCTATCTGCATCTTAACCTTTCACCCAGAATAACAAGACACTTGTCCAGATGGGTAGCCAAGAAAGAAGCAAGGAGCAGGGCCCTCAAGTCAGTGGGTATATGGGAGCAACAGACAGCAAGAAGGAAACAGCTCAGGTTCACGGCCCTCCAACCCAAGTATCCTCAACTTATAACTTCTGGGGAACCAGGAATTACCGACAGGAGGACATCAGACAACAACATCAGCACACAAATATAAAAAGCAGTGAATGTTCCCTGAGCTATCTGGTTAACAGTCTTCAAGTCTGTAATGGGCAATCATATATATCATCTGTCAAAACCTGGTATTTCTTCCTGCAAATGTCTCTCAGATTCACTCCCCTCTTTTCCATATCTATGGCCCCTATACTGGTTCCTAGGCTCTCATCACATCACATCTAAGTTACTCCAGCTACCTCTAGTCTCTTTTTCTTTAAGATCCTAGACAGTGAAACTGCCCTAGACATTGAATGTTTCTTACATAATACTTTTTTCATGTCCCTTCCCTGCTCAAGAACCTTATTGTGGCTTCCCACCGCATAATGTCCAAATTCTTCTGCTTGACTTCCAAGTTCTTTCATAATCTAGTCCCACCAACTTGCCCAATTTCAATTTACCTTATTCTTCAACAGACTCCTCAACTCAAGACAGGTCTGGTCTTAGAGGAAAATGGGATTTTAGAACCGGAAGGAACGTCAGTGAACACCTAGATCAACTCACTGCTGAATATGAATCACTCTACAAAATTCCTGACAAGTGACAGTCATCCAGCCTCCCTCGACCTCCTGAGGCTGACCGATCAACTTTTGGAAAACTCAAGCTATTCAGTTGGTTTTCCTCCCATCAAAATCTAAATCTCTATTTCTCTGCAGCTTCTGCCTACTCTTACTTACTTCTGATCTCATACAAAAGAAGAACAACTCCAATCCCTCTGCCATAGTATAGGTTTTCAAATATTTGAAGATCATCAACTTTTCTAGGCTTAATAAATGTAGGGTCATAGAATAATAGACTTCCTGTACTGGAAAGGACTTTAGATTTCATGGAGTCCAGCTACTGAGTCTCATTTTACAGATGAGGAAACTGAGGCCCAGAGATGTTAGGTAAATCGCCCAAGGTTACAAGCTAAATAATTAATTCAACAAACCTTTATTATCTGTCTAGGAGCAGAGAACTATACTAGGTGTTGGGAAAAATTCAAAGGCATCTTCCCTCAAGGCAAAGATAGAACAAAAGGTTGGCAAACTAGACAGCTCCTTAATGTACGAGAAATGATATAAGTGAACATATTTTTGAAGATAGAAAATGGCATTCTTCATGGCACATAGGTATTCATTTTGTGATCAGCCACACTGTACCTGAAGGTGTAGTCTATGATGGTTAGCACACCATGAAGAGGCAATTTTCAAATGCAGGGACATATAATTTTCAAAGCTTACTCAGTACACAGACTTTGCCTCAAGGATCAAACAAACCAAGAGCGAAGAGAAGATATGTTCCCAAATTGAACATGGTACCAAGATACCAATAAGATGATATTCATGGGAGAGAGTCTACTTCTGGTCAGAGTGGGAGGATAGGAATAATTTCAATAGGCAAATATTAAGGGGCATTCAAGACACAGGGCAGAAATAAAGGTGATGAAGAAGATGGGGCAGACCTGGGGAATGGTGAATAGGCCAGTTTGGCTGAAGTACAGATTAGGTAACGGTGAGTGATGTGAGATAAGGCTAGAACCATAGTTGGAGCAGGATTGGACTTAAATGCCAGGATCAGGAATCTGGCCTTAATAGGTCTTTCTTTTCTAATGGTCTTCCCACCACAGTATGCTGTCTCTCCTCACTCCCAACCCCTACACCCGGACCTTGCATAGCATGCTCATTATTGTTAGCTTGTTTTGGCTCTTGGTATTGCCCTAACTCAAATGCCCCCTCTGCCAATCTAAGTCACAGACACCTTTCAAAGCCCAGTTCAATCCCACCTCTTTCATAAAGCCTCCTCCATGAACTCCAGTTCACCATTAGCTCTCCTATGATCACCTATTATGTTCTTAGTCAGTAGTGCACAGTTCAACACTTAAATGTTCTTGATGCTTCAACAGAGCACTAATTAGCTCTTACTATGTGCTAGGCACTGCGCTAAGCAGTAAGAATACAAACATAAGCATGTAAGACCGTACCTACCCTCAAGGAGATTACATTCTAATGAGAGAATACAGCAATTAAGGAGTACTGGAAAGGGGAGCACATGAGATTGCATGGAGAGAAGACCATAAAGGCCTAGACCATGGCAAGATAAGGTGAAAGCTAGGAGACTCAGGGGTGGAGTTCAAGGCCTACGGCAAACAAGTCTTGTTAGAGACCTATGTAAAAATGCTCTTGGTAAGTCGGGAGCAGCCACTGTCGAAAGGCCTTGAAGATCAGGCTGGATGAGGCATTTTGATTTGATAAAATAGAGAGTCATTACGTGTTCTGATGAGCCGGTCCACTGGCTGTCTACAAGCTCCTTGAGGCAATGAATATGCCACATACTTCTACATATCCTACAGTGCCTAGCATAGGGTTAAATACTGAACAAATACGTGTTGGCCAACTATTTTACAAAGTATAACCAACTTTTGGACATAGCCACTACCCAAAAAGAAAAGACTTTATTTCAACCTTGTTGTTTGGTTGTTTTTCAGTTGTATCCAACTCTTTGTGACTCATTAGGGGTTTTCCTTGCAAAGATGCTGGAGCCGTTTGCCATGTCCTTCTCCATCAAGTCCTGTATATTCCAACTTCATCACATCTCTCACTTTGGCCTCCTCCCTCCTCCCTTGCCACAACTTTATTGCCTCTACACTACCTCATGGCCATCTACACTGCAACAGCCTCCTAACAAAGCCGGTCCAACTCCAGTCTCTGCCTATTCCTATCAATCACGTGGCTGACAGACTCATAGAACCAATCATGTCACTCTTCTGCTTAACAATCCTCTATCCAAACCGAACTGATCATTGCCTCCCATGCACTCCCTGAATTTACCTATCTCTGGACCTTTGTCCAATGCCACGCCCTGTGGCTGGAATGATCTTCCTCTACCTCTTCCACCCTTTAAATTTTCATCAGTCCCTTAACACCCAACCCAAATGCCACCTCCTTCATGAAACTCTTCTTGATCTCTCTCTCTCTCCGTCAGTAACAACCAGATCCTCTAGTTCTCACAAAGTATTTTGTTTTGTAACCCTCTAATTAAATTAACATCCTTTCTAGGCCAAAAACTGTATGTTATCACTTTTGGTACAAGTGTCTAGACCTCATTCCCGTACTAAATCGAATCACTCTAGTGCTTAAGCATAGGGCTGTGAAAACAGCAAGTACTTGATCAGTGTTAGGTGAATTGTTTCAATCAACAAACAAATTAAGCACTTGTTATAGGTATCACACTGGGGCAATAAAGATCATGATAACTGAATAATAATAGCTAATATTTATGTGGGCAGCTAGATGGCACGTGGATAGAATGCTGAGCTTGTAGTCAGGAAGATTAATCTTCCTGAGTTCAAATCTGGCCTCATACACTTACTAGCTGTGTGACCCTGAACAAGTCACTTAACCCTGTTTGCCTCAGTTTCTCTTCTATAAAATGAGTTGGAGAAGGAAATGGCAAACTACTCCATTATCTTTGCAAAAAAAAAATCTAAACGGGGTCACAAAGAGTCAGATATTACTGAAGCAACTGAACAACAACAAATATTCATGTAGTGGCTTAAGGTCTGCAAAGAAGAAAATAAGAGTCCTTGCCCTCAAGGAGCTTACATTCTAGCAGGGAAGATGAACTCTACACAAGTAACTATAAGTTAGAAAATTGTTAAGTGAACAGAAGAGGTCAGAGTATTCAGAGAGATTTACTGAAAGAAAAATACTCTTAAATAAGGGGACCTAGGAAGATATCACAGAGGAGGCAGCACCTAACCCGGATACTGAAGTAGGAAAAGGAT